TCAGCATTACGCCGGCTGTCTTTACTTTCCCAGGACAGCCCATCCTGGTACCCAATTTAGGCTGGGTCGACCTGCGACGTCCCATACCACGACAAAAATCCACGCAGCCTGCAGTAGGTTTCGATCGCGGTATGCTGGCTTACGAGTCGGACTCGCAACGAAACATATACAGAGTATTAAATTCTTTGCCATCACAGACCAAAGGTACATGATAAAAACTACTGTGCACAAATCAGTTGAATACGAGACACACATACAGTGCACTATCTTCTATGACACCACTGACTTATCATACATGAGAGTAACATACTGTATAGTGCCCTGTATGCCAAGCAATGATATATGATACACGCATACAGTGCACTGGCCTCTATGTCGCCACAGATCTATCGTTTATGATATACACATACAATGCACTGGCCTCTGTGTCACCACAGATCTATTGTATATGATACACACATACAGTGCACTGGCCTCTATGTCACCACAGATCTATAGTATGTGATACACACATTCAGTGCACTGGCCCCCATGTCACCACAGATCTATTGTATATGATACACACAGATGAATGCCAACACAGTTTCATTTAACTCCCAGGGGATTGAACTGCCCTGTTTTAACCCCTACACACCAGTTATGGCCCCTGGTACTCCACAGGGGGTATTTTTTGCCCTAGCCGACACGTGTAGCCATTATGCTGAGTAACCACTGACCCGGCCGCATCGAGATACCAGCTAAGTGATTTTGTGTATCTATGTAGCATTGTTTTATTTGTATGTGCTGATGAAGGCTCAATAGCCGCAACGTTCACGTTTTGTTTGTATTTGTTATATTGTGAAGCTTGCTAATATACTTTTCGTTCGATTTGATATCTTTTCTTGATATAGTATATGATACACACATACAGTGCACTGGCCTCTGTGTCACCACAGATCTATAGTATATGATACACACATACAGTGCACTACCTCCATGTCACCACATATCTATTGTAAATGATACACACATACAGTGCACTGGCCTCTGTCACCACAGATCTATCGTACATGATACACACATACAGTGAACTGGCCTCTATGTCACCACACATCTAATGTACATGATACACAGACAGTGTACTGGCCTCTATGTCACCACAGATCTATTGTATATGATACACACATACAGTGCACTGGCCTCTATGTCACCACAGATCTATTGTATATGATACACACATACAGTGCACTGGCCTTTATGTCACCACAGATGTATTGTAAATGACACACACATACAGTGCACTGGCCTATATGTCACCACAGATGTATGGTAGATCACACAAAAACATACAGTATACTAACTTCTAAGTTACCATGTATCTAAAAAAGGTGATAAAAACACTCAAAGAAAACTCAAGTAAAAAATTTGAACTCTCGGGGTTACAGTGGGGCAAACAGATATATAAAAACACAGAAGGAAATAGCTGTTTGAATCTCTGTGGTTTCCCATGTTGATTATAGAGATTCATTTTGGTTAGAAAAAGAGCAGACGCCCCCCCCCCCCCCTCAAGCATGTCATAAAGGGAAACTAATTAGCGTTCACTTCCCCGGTGCAATCATCGACGGTGCGAGGAACTACCAGCGAAACAACCTCAGGAAACAGCAACATCAACAGTGACATAGAAGACGTAATGCCAGGCCAACCAGGCACGGTATCCCACCAACCAAAAACATAATGCCACCCATACCCGCTCCAGGCAAACTATAGGTGTCCTTCTCAGGACAATTAGAAAAAAAAAAACACCTCCCCATAGCAGCAAGTCATAACAGAATTTCGGAAACACCTCCCAGACGTAACCCCACGTCACAAGACACAACGAATCCAAAAACCACAAGAATCCTAGGACACCAAAAACAAAACCAAGCCCTAGAGGCAGGTTGAAGCTGTCCAGGTTTTTAAATTTTTATTTTTCAATGGCAATGGTGTTCAATTCAAAGTCAGAGTGCATCTGCCTAAGAGCAAAGGAATCAACAGACTGCAAATAAATAAGTCAGATCTGTAAAATGGGTGTGCAGCTAAACTAAAGCTCTGGAAGAAGACTAAAGTCAAGAAGTGGACGAATAACTAGAATTTTCTGCCAAAGTTCACACGAAGAAAGAACTGGCAAACCTCTGTGGTCATTTTGTGGGAAAAGTTTTTTTTTTAAACTGGCCATAATCTAACACAAGAGAATTAATACAAATCATTTCTTCCAACTTCAAACAAAGTTGTCAGTTGGAAAAAAAAGACCACACACACGCAAAAGATGAATAAGCAATATTTGCAGTAATAAAACATCATTAGATTAAAGTTAATTTCTGATTATCAAATGCAAATTCAACAATTTTAATCAACGTTATAAATTACTTCACTTTGAGAAAAAAAAAAAAAAAACCCTCACCATTTACATGACAATCACTTCATTATATCATTTTCATCTGGTGTACGCACAGAGACAACAGCTGAAGCCCGTATGATTTCATTTATTATACGTTACTGATATTGACTACATCCCATATATAAACACTTGTTTATGCTGGGTTGTCATCAAATACATTACATACACAGGATCAATTACACAGCAGTGTTATACATTATGTCATTTACAAGGTCATCAATTACATCACATGCAACTCATCAATTACATTACATATCCTCTATTACATCACATACAAAGTCATCAATTAGAGTAAAGTCATCCATAACATTACATCATTCAACAACATCACACACAAAGTCATCAATTACAATAAAGTCATCCATAACATTACAACATCACACACAAAGTCATCATTTACAGTGTAGGTATACTTGTAGCGCATTCCAGTATTTCTAACAAAGAATCAGAAATCAACAACAATGTATTTTTATTATATATTAAACACAGGAATGGAGCGATGTATGCAAGGAATGAGGCTACAAGGGCAGAATTAAGACAGGCATGCGTGCCCCAATTCTCACCCCTTTGAAAATCAAATTTGTTTGTTTGTCTTTCTTTTATTATACAGTTATCCACCACATCGCACATTTAGTCATCAATTACAATACACAGTCATTCCTGACATCACACAAAAGTCATCAATTACAATACACAGTCATTCCTGACATAACACAAAAGTCATCAATTACAATACACAGTCATCCCTGACATCACACAAAAGTTATCAATTACAATACACAGTCATCCCTGACATCACACAAAAGTTATCAATTACAATACAGTCATCCCTGACATCACACAAAAGTTATCAATTACAATACACAGTCATCCCTGACATCACACAAAAGTTATAAATTACAATACACAGTCATTCCTGACATAACACAAAAGTTATCAATTACAATACACAGTTATCCCTGATATCCCACAAAAGTTATCAATTACAATACAGTTAGTTATCCCTGACATCCCACAAAAGTTATAAATTACAATACACAGTTATCCCTGACATCACACATAAAGCTATTGATTAGAATAAACAGTCATCCACAAAATAAACTAATCAATGCAGTAATCTATAACCCTACATATAAAGTCATCAATTACAATACAAAGTTATAGATTACAGAACATACAATATCATTTATACATCAAACAGCCATTACATCACATGTGAAGTCCTCAAATATGTATTACACAGTCAACCCTTACATTGCATACAAAGTTATAATTTATGTTAACACAGCCATCTAATACTCGCACATCACATACATTACACAGCCACTGTCATCCATTGTGTTACATAGAGATTCACCTATCACACTGAACCAGAACCTTTCAACACCGGAAGGGGGCAAGCAATTTTGAAACAGTAAATCTGCACTTGCAAACAAGACAGCACTACCAGACTGATGATATGTGGTGTGCTTTGTTCAATATCAACCAGCCCCCACCCCCCCAAATATCATCAAGACAAAACAGTGTCAACCATCACACTGATATCTGGACACAGATGATTGTTTCTATTGTGTGTTTCTATTATGTTATTTGACACTTGGATTTACACAGATGTTTTTCTCCTCTTTTTTTCTTTTTCAAACTAGGGTGAATGGAAAAAAAGTGGGGGGGGGGGGGGGGGGGGGAGAGAGAGAGAGAGCTTGATATATATTCAGGATGGGGGCTGGAAAAGGTTGAAAACCACTGTACTTAGAAGTCATCCTTTCACCACATATAAATCAACAGTTACAACGCCCAGTCAACAAACAGATCACATAGAAAGTCATCTTTTACATTAGAGCTATCAATTAAATCAGATACAGACTTACATTCAAATCTACTGAATTAACTGAATTAATACAAAGTTGTCAATTACACTCCACACAAAATCATACTACACATGAAACAGACATACATTAATCACAAAATAAAGTTACAATACAGTCACTGTATCACACAATCCTGGAGTGTCTGATTACATCACATAAAAGTATTACTTAGATCACATAGCTATTGGTTACATAACATATGCATTGTCTATTTTATCAAATGGTGTGTGATTCCATCATACATCATCATCAATGAGTCCTAAACATCCACCAGTCACATCAAACATCATTCTCACTGGATCATACAAATCACATGTCACTACGCCATCATCAATAACTCAATCAACCAATCAGATGTATGGCACCCTATCATCAACGAGTCACACAAATCCACCAGTTACATCATACACATTCATTAATAAGTCTCAAACCAACCAATCGCAATGCACATCATTATCAGAGTCATGCAAATCAACCAGTCACATGGCACATCATTATCAATGAGTCACAAATAGACCAATAAAATCACAGACAATCATCAATGAGCTCCACCACACATCTAAACCTCATCTTTTAAGTCACATAAACTACTGGCCAAACCACACATAAACAACTGTCATATGACAAAAAATACGCCCCCACATACATTGCAATCAATGATATGACAGACAAAGCAAGTGAAACACACAAATCTACCAATCTGGCCCCTTTCATCATCAAAACTCCTCTTGCAATCTAGAATATTTCCCGGCGCTAGCAGGCACACTACGATTGGGAAACAGATCTACATCATCCATCTGAGCATCATGGTTTTGAACCGAGCTGAAACCTACATCATCACTGTCGCGGTTCATCTCAACCGTCCAGAAAGCTCGCCGCTTCTCCCTGAAGTAGAACCTGGCGAACCACACAGCAGCCACAAGCAGCAGTCCAATCAGCAGCAACGTGACCACAACGGCAGCAACAACACCGGGGGAGGCTCCAGGGATCATGTGTCTGGCTCTGACCTCATCTTCTTTGGTGCAGTTTTTAAAATTGATGGGATCGCCCACGTAACCAGGCAGGCACAGATCACACTTATCACCAGTGGTATTGTGCTGGCATTGTAGACATTTTCCTGATTGTAGAAAACAACAAACAGTATTGTTAGCGACAATGTAAGGAATGAGAAAAAAGCTAGTTGGACTAAACAACTGGTAGGTGACCATGGGTCCAACAGATCTTGGATAAGGAAAAAGGAATTAGCTAGTTGGACTAAACAACTGGTAGGTGACCATGGGTCCAACAGATCTTGCATAAGGAAAAAGGAATTAGCTAGTTGGACTAAACAACTGGTAGGTGACCATGGGTCCAACAGATCTTGCAAAAGGAAAAAGGAATAAGCTAGTTGGGACTAAACAACTGGTAGGTGACCATGGGTCCAACAGATCTTGGATAAGGAAAAAGGAATTAGCTAGTTGGACTAAACTGGTAGGTGACCATGGGTCCAACAGATCTTGGATAAGGAAAAAGGAATTAGCTAGTTGGACTAAACAACTGGTAGGTGACCATGGGTCCAACAGATCTTGCATAAGGAAAAAGGAATTAGCTAGTTGGACTAAACAACTGGTAGGTGACCATGGGTCTAACAGATCTTGGATAAGGAAAAAGGAATTAGCTAGTTGGACTAAACAACTGGTAGATGACACGTGGTAGCTCAGTATGGAGACCCTTCGCTGGCTGCTGTGGAGGGGGACGGAGCTGATATTGGCTTGTCCTGATTGTTGTTGTTGAATCCTTCGCACCCAGATGACAAAGAACTGTACAGTTCTCCTCTGGTATCTTTGGGCTGAACAGACCCCACAACATGTCTGGCAAGACTGTCCTCTCCTGGAGGAGCTGCAAAACAATATGTGGCCACACCCAGTGAACTTGACATGACAACTAAGCTTTAGGGAAACCTACGAAATCTCGAGCTAACATCCCAGTTTATGGTGCAGTTCATTAGGCATATGACCAGACACTGCTGAAAAGGAGGAGGAAGAAGAAGAAGAAGTGACCATAATAAGAAAGAAAAAAACACCCTGACAGACACAGAAATAAACCATAAAGAAAGACAATCATCCTGTCAGACACAGAAATAGACAAATACAGGAATCTGAACACACAGCACTCATCAACTAAATGTGTGAAAAGAACCCATACAGTCAGAGCATGAGGTAACCACAGCCATCAAAGACCTGCCTCTCCCTTCATCCCATCCCCTAAAAATACTGACAAATAGGCAGGTGGAGTGGCAGGCAGGTAGAGAAAAGGAAACATATTGAGAGACAGGAAAAGTCGAACAGACGGGTAGACAGGAGACATGTAGAGAAAAGCAAACATACTGAGAGACAGGAAGAGTCGGACAGACGGGTAGACAGGCAGACATGTAGAGAAAAGGAAAACATACTGAGAGACATAAACAGTTCAAAGAGACAGGCAGAGAAAAGGAAACATACTGACATACAGGAAGAGACAGGCAGACAAGTAGAGAAACAGGAAGAGTCAGACAGATGAGTAGATAGAGAGAGACAGGTATAGGAAAGGAAACATACCAAGAGAGATTAACAAATTTTTTTTTTAAAGGGTCACAAGAACAAGGAAGAAGCAGAGAGACAGGCAGATCAGTAAGATGAAAACTAGACAAAAAGATGGTAGGTGTGGAGGGTTTGGTGAAGGTGAGTAGATAGGTAGGTAGGCATTTAGACAGATGAAGGTAGGAAGATTAAAAAAAAAAGCTCACCTGTGGTTGCTGAACACATGGGCTCAGCACCTGGGGCTGTGTTTCCGGTACAGAAGCATGGCACACAGCGGTGGTTGAGTCTGTAGAAACCACTGGCACAAGTGTGGCAGATGTTTCCGGTGTAGCCCACTTCACAGCTGTCGCAGCGCAGGAAACCTTCCACTGGAAACAGCAATTTTGTTAGGATCCCACAACTACGAGATTAAAGATGATAATAATGTCATCCTTACCCACACAGGACTAAAGGTTACAGGTAGTGTAGCCATTAAGGGTGACATAATTATAACTTCCTTGAAGGATGAATGAGGTAGGATCTACCGTGTTGGTCTGCTATCTAGACAGAGATGCTAAGGTAAAGCTCTTGGTAGCAGCCCAGAGCAGACAAACCTATTGATCGAACAATCATTAATGTACTGGCTAGTGGACCTATCAAGAGGCAGACAGCAACAAAAGTGGGAAGATAAAATCAAGAAATGGATGAACAGCAGTCTGAGACAGTGTACATTGGAGACATACTGCAGTCAACCTTCTGTGTGGAGATGGCACCTGACTGACTGAAGTTATCTACCAGCCAGTGACTGATGAGATGATGATGATACAACTGAGTTTTAAGAACTGACATCACAGCACTCAGGACATTCCTATAAGTGCTCTGTCTTCATCTTCAGGAGCTATGAAGAGTTCTAACTCCGAATGTACCAGTAGCAGTCCAAATGTATATCCGTCTTGCCTGTCCTCTGAGTGTGGGTTGTTGGCCTCACCTCCTGGTCACTGCAACATTCTCTTCAGGCCAAGTTAATTTAATTGCGATTCCGCACTGTTCCCTCGCCCCCACAGGTCTTGACAACATCTATGATAAGATGGTAAAAGACACAGATAATAAAGGAGAAGAAGACAAGGAATAGGAGACTCAAATCAAGATAGGTGAAAACAAGTGATCAAGAACAAGGAGACTAAGACAGCACATAGCCGAGAGACCAGTCTTCCCTAGTATAAAACAGGAAGCTGACACGCTGCTTCTATTTCCCCCTCTGCTTTCTGAAGGCCTGGTCCTCTCAGAAAATCTCAATCTGGATGACAAACCGATAGAATAAAAAGACACCCTGTTCAACCTTCAAAGTTATAAATGGGATGCTCATAACAGCCACAGTGCAGTCGTGTTCAGGCAAGGAGTTCACTAGGAACCATGCATGTTGCAGGTGTCTCAGCTAGGTGCAATTTAGTGTGGATCTGGATTCCTGGGGGGCTGATGTGTTAGGCTGAAAGGCACAGATATCACAACCTGGCTGTAAACTACAACACAACATGCCAACCAGCCTTTTAACTCTTTCAGCCAGACAAGTATTTTTTTTTTATCTCCTCTATTCCTAAGCAGATGAGGCTTAAAGTAATAGGTGGTAAGGACTGAAAGGGAGCAGATAATAACAGTTTAGGACAAAAGGAACATTAGTAACAACTAGGATAGAATGTATGTTAGTGAATCTTAAAATCTGAGCAAAGTAAGAAGAGTTTGGAGGCAGCTGAGATGTGGTTCTTGAGAAGAAAGCTGAGAATACCCTGGAATGGGAGAATAACCAACATTGAATGCCTGGAAATGGCTGATGAAAGTAGAACATTATATACTACAATGAGAAGGAGACAAAGTTCTTTGGTCATGTAATGAGAATAGGAGCACTGGAAAATATTGTGATGACTGGAAAGATCACTGGTACAAGAATCAGAGGCAGACAAAGAGAAATGATGGTGGATGGCTTAAAATAGTGGCATGGAGGAATATCAAAGGTTGATTTTACCTGGAACAAGAAAGACAGATCTGTGGCAACACATGAATGCCTACGCCAGCTGGCAAGGCACTTGATGATGATGATAGAACAGGTGCATGATGGAATACACAAAGCTCAGAAAGACACAGCATGCTAGGCAATTCCAATAAAGGTATGGTAAGTTGTTTGGTGCGAGAGAGGTAAGGTCAAATACAGAAGGAGAAAGTTGAGAACAAGGAGCCCTAAATGAAGATGATTGATAGAAAGCTGTATAAACTTGGCATATTCAAAGTTCTGACCACAAGAAGTGTTTCTTGAAAGGGTTCTTTCTCTCACTCAGTCTACTTTTTATAGCTGCTTCACACATCGTACTTGGTAGCTTAAATGTTACTATTCTTTGTAGAAGACTAAATCTAGTCCTTTGGGTTGATACACAGTCCTGTAAATGCCGTAAATGGCCATGTCTGAATTGACTTGTTCTCGAAAAGCATAGTGAAATTCCACTGGTTTTATGTAAACCTACGCAATGTGGCCAAGATATGAATATAGTAACTAAAAAAGGCATTGAGGGGAGTGTTCCTTTTTTTAAAATCCTAATAGGTTTTTTTCAAAGCCCCATTTTGAAAGGCTTGAGGAATGTATTCCATTTAATGCTTTATTCCATGTTCACTGGCTACCCCTTTATATATTTCGAAAATAAATTTAAATATGTAGATAAATACATTTAAAAACATTATTTATGACCTGTATTTTTTTTTAAACAATTTCTTTCAGTAATTCCAAGGGGCACACAACCTTCTTCTTTTTTTTTTTAAGCATTTGCGAGGTTAAAGGACCAGGGTTCTGGCAACTTATAAGCTAGCTGAGATTATTTTAGAAATACACCATTTCTTGTACCTAATATAACAGACACAATTACGAGAAGGCAACAAAGATATAAGAAATAACCTGGCACTCTTACAGAACAATCAGTGACTAACACAGCACATACAAGACACTGAAGTGTCTAACATAGAACATATAGGACACTGAAGTGTCTAACATAGAACAAACAAGACACTAAAGTGTCTAACATAGCATATACAAGACACTGAAGTGTTGCTAGTGTTCTGAAGATCTTTTCTCCAGAGCAAGCGAGTATGCAGGAAAAAGAAAAGGCTGATACAATCAGTGTCATTGCACTACTTGATGCATGACAAGCTGGATGTTCTCAAGAAGGCCCTTTAAGAGTAAGAAAGCAAAGAAAGCAATGCTAAAGCATGAATAGATAGATCATCACAGTGTGGTCAGAACGATGAAGTGGGACGTGACCAGAGAATGTAACAGACAGTCTAAGGAAAAGTAAGATGGACATCTAATCAAACTGCCTCTGTCAAAACAACACTGGAACTGTAAGCTGACTGCTGAAGATGAGGATGAATTGCTTATGGGAATGTCCAGAGTCCCACGACCTCAACTCAAAGAAGTATTGAACAACTTGGCACATTTGCTAAGTAAGTAAAGTAAAGTAAAGGACCTTTTTCCATGCCTTTAGGCGCATAGGGCATATAGGGCTAGACCTATATTTTTATAGACCAATCGGCACAAGATGGGTGATGTGGTCAGCATCACGCCGGCCGCCTTTACTTTCCCGGGACTGCACCCGGTACCCACTCAAGGCTGGGTCGACCTGGGAGCCAAGGTCATTTTTTAAATAAGTCCGGCTCCGCCAGGGAGCAAACCCACGACCTTCTGATCCGCGGCTAGCGTCTAGCCGTTCGCCACGGCAACTCCCACATTTTGTCAATAGTATCAGTACCTGACCTTACATACAAACAAATAACCAGATGATAAAGAAGAAACAGACAACTTATCCACTTACTTGGCCGTCATGATCGCTTGAATCTGTCATAAGACAAACACACCTAAACAAGATGAATCCTGAATTAAGAATCAACATCACAGCATTTGGGACATTCCCATATTTGATCCGTCTCCATCTTCAGCAGTAAGCAGAGTTCTAATTCCGATGTCACCAGTAACAGTCAGATTGTATATCCATCTTGTTTTTCCCTTGAGTGCTGGCTGGATCCGCTGGTCACTCCTTGTAGCACCATTCTCCTTAGACTGTGACAATTTATTATTGCCTCTGCACTGTTTACTCACTCCCATAGCACCCTCAACACATCTAGCTTGTCATGCATCAATTCAAAACCAAGTGGTGCAGAAGCAACTAGTTTATCAGTTCACCTTTACAAGTGAACACACAAGTGATAAGAAACAAAAGTACCCTTACCAAACTGACAAGACCTCTTACGGGTGGCGTAATGATCACAAGGGCAGCGATGGCAAGGGAAATGTGGTGCAGTTTTGTAATATCCTGGTGCACACACTTCACAGAAGCTTCCCTCATATCCATCCTTGCAGTTACAATACTTGCTTCCTGTCAAGTTACACCCTAGGCTGGGTGCAATGGTCCCATAATGGTCGCACTGACACTCTGTAGAAACAAAAATAAACTTGGAATATTTACACTACCCTTGCATAAATTCTTTTCAAAAAGTTTAGAAAACAGTGCTTTTTTCCTTACCAAAGTAGATCTAAAAAGAATTATTTTTGGCAATTTTTATACTAGCAGTGTCAAACATGCATCTTTACTACAACTAACGAGTGCAGAATCATAACAGGAGTTGAGTTGAGCCAAGTATTGACATCACAGCACTTGGGGCATTCTCATGCATGCTCTGTCCTCATCTTCAGCAGCCAGCGCTGAGTTCCAATACTGATGGTACCAGTCACAATCTGGTTAAATGTCCGTCTTGCCTTTCCTCTGAGTGTAGTGAGCCGGCCAGACCCTCTGGTTACACCCAGGTGAAATTATATCAGTAAAGATGATATACCTTAGAAAAGCTGTCACAGTAATAGAAAAGAGATAAGTATTAAAAATGATGAAAGCTAGAGAGGATGGACTAAATTCAGTCTTATAAAGTTCATTAAAGAGCAACAGATGAAATGGTTTGGTCATCTGACAAGAATACCCTGGTACTAACTGCCCTAGAGAGCTTAGATGAAGAAATATAGCCCCAGAGCAAGGGGAACACCATGCAAAATATGGAATGACAATATCAAAAAGAGCCTTAAAGAAATGAAGATCAACTTATGCAACATAATCAGAAAGAGCATACACAGATTATCTCTACATCTAACTCCTCCTCAAGACTTCAATGAGGTAAATAGAGGAACGAACGAACAAACTTTATTTTCAAAGGGTTACAAATTAGGCACTAGTTGTATTTCATCAATGAAGCATGTTATATTCATGTAATAATATGCATATTATGGATATGAAGTCAAAAGCAAAAGCATGGCTGGTAAAATATTTGCGCACGCTCGCGCGTGAACACACACACCCACATACCCATTCACTCACTTACACACAAACACATAGGCACCCAGTACACACACACATACATACACATACGAACATGCATACACACATACATACATTCATACATACATACATGCATACACACATACATACATAATACACACATATATATACAAACATATAAACATACATACACACATACATAGGAAGAGAATAAGAGGACCTTTTGAGTTCGTAGGGTGGTGATGGGGGTTGAGGGTAGAGGTAAATGGGGGAGGGGTTACTATTACATTGCATATTTTATCTTTCTGTATCCTCTGACTCAATCACCGATCTGTCCGCCTGCATTCTCAATAACCTGCCTGGCTGTCCACTCAAGCATATGTTAATTTGCTTCCTCTGTCTGCCCACTGTCACTGTCTGTCTTGTCTGTCTGTCCCTTTGATCACTTGTCTGACACCCCTGTGTGGGTTTTGGGGCACCACTGATTGGAAAATAAGAACAGACCCACTACCCCCCAAAAAAGCATGTCGTAAGAGTCAAATAATTGGGGGCTTCCTTCGAAGTCGGAGTGCATCTGCCTTAGAGGCAAGGAACCAGTAATCTGCATACAAATAAGTATAATCTGTAAAACGAATGTGCATGCAACACTCAGGTTCTGGAACATGTGTAAAGTCCAGAGGCAGTTGAACAACCAGAACTTTCTGCCAGAGTTTACAGCCGGTAAACACGAAGAAGTAGAAGAAGAAGTAGAAGAAGAATTGTCTGTCTTTTCACTCAATCACTCGTCTGTCTGCATGGATACTGAAGAACTTGCCTGGCTGTCCACTCAAGCATATGATAGTGTGCTGACCATTCAACCACTTGTCTGATATATGTGTGCTGACCATTCAACCATTTGTCTGATATGTGTGTGCTGACCATTCAACCACTTGTCTGATATGTGTGTGCTGACCATTAAACCATTTGTCTGATATGTGTGTGCTGACCATTCAACCACTTGTCTGATATGTGTCCACACAATTGCTTGTCCACTCAAGCATATGACCGTGTGCTGACCATTCAACCACTTGTCTGATATGTGTCCACACAATTGCTTGTCCACTCAAGCATATGATAGTGTGCTGACCATTCAACCACTTGTCTGATATGTGTCCACACAATTGCTTGTCCACTCAAGCATATGATAGTGTGCTGACCATTCAACCACTTGTCTGATATGTGTCCACACAATTGCTTGTCCACTCAAGCATATGATAGTGTGCTGACCATTCAACCATTTGTCTGATATGTGTGTGCTGACAATTCAACCACTTGTCTGATATGTGTGTGCTGACCATTCAACCACTTGTCTGATATGTGTCCACACAATTGCTTGTCCACTCAAGCATTTGATAGTGTGCAGGCTATTCAACCACTTGTCTGATATGTATGTGCTGACCATTCAACCATTTGTCTGATATTTGTGTGCTGACCATTCAACCATTTGTCTGATATGTGTGTGCTGACCATTCAACCACTTGTCTGATATGTGTCCACACAATTGCTTGTCCACTCAAGCATTTGATAGTGTGCAGGCCATTCAACGACTTGTCTGATATGTGTCCACATAATTGCTTGTCCACTCAAGCATTTGATAGTGTGCAGGCTATTCAACCACTTGTCTGAAATGTGTCCACACAATTGCTTGTCCACTCAAGCATATGACGGTGAGCTGACCATTCAACCACTTGTCTGATATGTATCCACACAATTGCTCGCCCACTCAATCACACTCCTGCCCCCCCCCCCCCCCCCCCATATACTGAGATCACAAAAACATAAATGACCTTTCGGCTCGGCCTCAGTTTTGGCTGTAGTAAACTCAGCTGGATCACTCTGGAACACATCCCCAGAGACATATTCAGTCTTGACGTGAAACTTGTACTTGGTGGCTGGGGATAAGCTGGTGATGTTGGCTGTCCAAGATGTTGCAGCTACTGTCATGTTGAAAACTGGAGACAATAGAAAACGAGGGGGAAAATATAATGGGTTATGCGCAGTGTAAAGCTTCTTCTTTCGTTCACTTGAAATAGATTATCTATATCTGCAATGCTGTCTCTAGTATGAACTTTACTGTCTTTTGTAATTCACTTAGCGGCCCATAAAATGTATGACATGGCTAATTCGACAATTCAACCTCTTGCTTTCACTTGAGACCTTTTCATGTGTAGCACCTGGGTTGGTAGTTATATTGGCTGCATTCTTACTAGATGACCAAACCATTTCATCTCCCTTTCTCAAAGAATTTGCTGAATGGTGTTGTTCCTACAGTCTGTTTGATAATATCATTTCTAACTTTGTGTAATGGATGGTTCAGTCAGCAGCTTTTCTCAGGCGTCTTATTTCACTAGTGTTAATTAATTAGCCTTTGATATTGTCCATGTCTGGCACTGGTAGCACAATATTGGTATGAATATGCTGTTTATAATCTATTTCTTGGTGCTCACACACATGTTTGAATGTCTTCATAGCAGTGTCAGTTGGTAACTACTCTAGAGTATGCCCTGGTTTGTTGACATTTTGTTTATATTTCCCGATCTACTCTCCAATCTTCAGAGAATATACTTCCTATCATACAAGTACCATTCAACCCTACATGTGGCAGACTAGAAATTCTCCCGATTGCATTACTTCAGTTTTAGTAGTATTTATTTTAATGTCATATATTTTGCATGTTTAATTTTGCCTATTTAAATGGTCCTGAGGTCTACTCCCCTCATGTTAGAACAGGTACTGATCTTCTGCGAACAGTAGCTTGTTTGATGAGGTTGGGTCTCATTCTTCCCCCCGGAAAGTAAAGCATCTCATTTTGTTGGTTTTCTGGGTAGACTGCTTTAAAGCTAACTTCTTTCGACATTATGTCGATGTATATAGTAAAAATCAATCCCAGATGTGGGCCATGTGCTTTGCCTTGGTTTCGACAGTGGTATCAGGGAGCTGACCGTCCAGAAAGCAATGGCAAACTACTGGACGTAAATTTGTCTAGAGAAACCACACAACTGCAAATGGCTGCTGGGGTTGGTTCTGCAACATCCTGTAATGGATATGCAACTAAACTGTGTAGTAAAAAAGGAGAGGAGAGAGCACACATTCCTGCCTAACCCTTATGTTGTTTGTTAACTATCAGATATGCCTATGGGAAGTGTGGTATATGTCCATGATGTTACCTAGCAATTATCCTTGTATCCCATACTCCTGAAAAATAGCCTACTTTGTTTCAAGGGCCCAATATTGGGAGAAAAAAGGAACAGACCCACTGCCCCGTCTTTCCTTCCAACAAGCACGCCATTCAAGAAGACTAGTTAGGAATTCCATGAAATTGGATGTGTTGGGCAGCCTTGCTGTAAACCACAACACCATGTGCCAACTGTCCTTTTCAGGACAAATGCACAAGCAGAAGAGGAAGATCATATGACAAGTTTGCTCACTGACAACATTCCCTCCCAACCAGCACCTGTATGCCCCAAACCTGAGTGCCAGTTGTGACAAGTGCAACTATTTTTTCAACTCTCGCCTGTGAATGTGAACCAAGCCTGGGAACTGTTTGACATGTGTCATCATGATAACAACAACAGGTCACAAACCACACTTCCGACTGAGGCTTGATTAACTCTTTCAACATGTCCCCACCAACAAAAATATGTCATATGTCCCTTATTATAATAAACAAGACAGGCAGTGAGGGATCATACTTAGAGGTTAGTAATAGCATTTCTTCTTCTTCTTCTTCCTTTCTGTCCCCCAATGGAGCATAGGCCCTCAACCAACTCATGCCAAGTCATTCTATCCTTCGCCATTGCATGGAGCTCTCCCCATGTCCTCCCCATCTTTCTAACTTCATTATCCAGCTCTCTTCTCCATGTGTTTTTTGGCCTTCCTTTATTCCTATTCCCCAGTGGGTTCCAATGCAAAGACATACTGGTTATGTTGTTCTCCTGTTTTCTCAGTGTGTGTCCAATCCAGCGCCAGCATCTTTTCCTCACCTCTTGTTCCACTGGAGCCTGTTTAGTTCTCTCCCAAAGCTTTACATTAGTTATTCTATCATCCCATTTAATTCCCTCAATTCTGCGCAGGCACCAGTTAATGAATGTCTGTAGTAATTGCCTTAGTTGTTCTCCATGTTTCTGCCCCATACAAAAGTACTGATTTGACATAAGAATAAACAAATTTTAGTTTAGTATTTCTTTTGACCTCCACAAATTCATTAGTGCTATGAAAGCCCCTCTTGCCTTTTGTATTCTAATTTTAATATCTCTATCAGTTCCTCCTTCGTTATCTACATTATTGCCCAAATAGGTGAACGACTCCATGTCTTGGAGTGGGGTGCCATTAAGAGACACCACATTACTATTTGCCTGGTTTATTCTCATTATCTTTGACTTTCCTTTATGGATTTTCAGACCAAGCTGATGTGATCTCGCATCAAGTATATTTAGTTTATCTTGCCCGAGGATCAAGATTTAATTTCCTCACAACTTAAGGAAACAAAAACACTTCAACAAGTTAGTAAATGCATAAACAAGACAATCACAGAGAAAAACAAAAACAGTTCAACAAGTTAGTAAATGCATAAACAAGACAATCACAGAGAAAAACAAAAACAGTTCAACAAGTTAGTAAATGCATAAACAAGACAATCACAGAGAAAAAAAAAACAGTTCAACAAGTTAGTAAATGCATAAAAAAGACAATCACAGAGAAAAACAAAAACAGTTCAACAAGTTAGTAAATGCATAAACAAGACAATCACAGAGAAAAACAAAAACAGTTCAACAAGTTAGTAAATGCATAAACAAGACAATCACAGAGAAAAACAAAAACAGTTCAACAAGTTAGTAAATCCATAAACAAGACAATCACAGAGAAAAACAAAAACACTTCAACAAGTTAGTAAATGCATAAACAAGACAATCACAATGAAAAAAAAAACACTTCAACAAGTTAGTAAATGCATAAACAAGACAATCACAGAGAAAAATAAAAACACTTCAACAAGTTAGTAAATGCATAAACAAGACAATCACAGAGAAAAACAAAAACACTTCAACAAGTTAGTAAATGTGTAAACAAGACAGTCACAGAGAAAAATAAAAACACTTCAACAAGTTAGTAAATGCATAAACAAGACAATCACAGAGAAAGAAAAAAACACTTCAACAAGTTAGTAAATGTGTAAACAAGACAATCACAGAGAAAAACAAAAACAGTTCAACAAGTTAGTAAATGCATAAACAAGACAATCACAGAGAAAAACAAAAACAGTTCAACAAGTTAGTAAATGCATAAACAAGACAATCACAGAGAAAAACAAAAACAGTTCAACAAGTTAGTAAATCCATAAACAAGACAATCACAGAGAAAAACAAAAACACTTCAACAAGTTAGTAAATGCATAAACAAGACAATCACAATGAAAAAAAAAACACTTCAACAAGTTAGTAAATGCATAAACAAGACAATCACAGAGAAAAATAAAAACACTTCAACAAGTTAGTAAATGCATAAACAAGACAATCACAGAGAAAAACAAAAACACTTCAACAAGTTAGTAAATGTGTAAACAAGACAGTCACAGAGAAAAATAAAAACACTTCAACAAGTTAGTAAATGCATAAACAAGACAATCACAGAGAAAGAAAAAAACACTTCAACAAGTTAGTAAATGTGTAAACAAGACAGTCACAGAGAAAAATAAAAACACTTCAACAAGTTAGTAAATGCATAAACAAGACAATCACAGAGAAAAACAAAAACACTTCAACAAGTTCGTAAATGTAAAAACAAGACAGTCACAGAGGAAAACAACAAAGTTTTTCAACTAGTCAGTAAATGCATAAGCATTGGGTGGGGGGGGGGGGGGGGGGGGGGGGGGGGGGGGGGGGGGGGGGAAATAGATCAAACCAACTACGAAGCCATAAATCTGGACACCCTGATGATATAAAATGGAGGATGCCCCCCCACGTGGGTTCCGGGGCCTCATCTGCCCAAGGATGGGGGAGAGGGGTGAGAAAAGATCTAGTACCCTGTAACAAGCATTTTATACAAGGCGACTGATTAGAAGTTTGCTGAAATCAGTTGAGTTGGACAACAACAACAACAACAACAACAAACACACACATAACGCAACCTAGCTGTGAACAACTAGATAACATGTCAACTGCCCTTTTTAAGGGCGAATGCGGGAAAATTTATAGACGATGCATTTAACACAAACATCACATATAGAAAATCTCTTGCCAGAGTAGCATTTCACAAGAACTGAAAGTTGAAAGTAAAGGATTACTTTTCAAGCCAGCAGGTGTAACAGGTTTTTGACGCTAACCCATATATTTAGACCAATGAGTACTCAATGGGTGATGTGATCAGTATCGTGCCAACTGCCTTTCTTTCCAAAGAAATTTCCTGGTACCCATTTTAGGCTGGGTTAATCTGGGAAACAAGTTAACTTCAAAAAGTTTTAAGACAAGATTACAAACACTGAGGTAATGGAAACAGCAGGTTTAAGTTTACTCATTGCCTTGTATGTGAAGAACCAGGTGGCTTGGTCATACCTGAAGAATGCAGGATGGTAGAGTCCCCAGGGATATCCTCTGGTTGCGAATCCTTTACAGGCTGTTGTGTGGTTTTTCTAGGCAAATTTACGTCCAGTGTGGTTTTTCTAGGCAAATTTAGGTCCAGTAGTTTGCCATTGCTTTCTGGACGGTCGGCTTTCTTGATACCACTGTCGAAACCAACGCAAAGCGCACGGCCCGCAGCTGGGATCGAACCCGGCATCCCGAAGCGTTTGAAGCGACTTAGCCACAGAGCTGACAGGGATATCATCTATGGCAGGTCTATTCAACTAAAGTTACCCACAAGCCACAAATGTGAAAATTGGGATCATCACAGGCACACACACATACACACACAAAAACAGGTTCATGGCACAAAAATACCAGGGACCATGTTGCAGGGAGAGAGAAAAATCAGGAAGGGAATGGGAATAAAGAAAGAAAAAAAAATGAACTGCAAAAAGGCTGAGAGCTGAGCATCTGAGAAGTACACTAAACACATGTGTTGGCAACAACAGTGCTGAAGTTCTATGTATTCTTCTTCTTCTTCGTGTTCACCAGCTGTAAACTCTGGCGGAAAGTTTTGGCTGTTTATCCACTTCTGGACTGCAGTCCTGTTCCAGAACCTGAGTGTTGTGTGTGCATCCGTTTTACAGATCTGACTTTTCTGTAAGCAGACTGATGGTTCCTTGCCTCTCCGGCAGATGCACTCTGACTTCAAAGGAAGCTCCCAATTAGTCCACTCAAATGCTTTTGGTTAGGCAGAGGGTCTATTCTTGTTTTCCATATAATAGGGCCCCAGAACCCACACGGAGAATTCTATGTTTTAATGATGAATAACTTTTTCTTAACAGTCTTGCTAGTCACACTTGCAACTGAAATGAGCTGTGATGCGCTTGCCTCCCTATACCACAATAGAACACCATCATCTAGAAAGACAAAAGTGCTAACCACAAAACCCCAAGAAGGCTTTGAACGTATGACCACTGAGCTGGCTGGCATATTAGTTCACTAGAGTCCTTCCCTGCTTTCCCTTCAAAAGATCATTGCCGTCGTCATGTGGCAAGTCTTTGCTGGAATCACACAGCATTCCAGGAAGATTCTCTGACACTGCAATGGTAATACACAAATATTTTTTAATTGTCCTTACCTGCAGATTCATTGTCTGCTTTTCCCCATGTGACTTCATACTTGGTTATGCAGCCTTGTGAAAATAAAACTACTTTCTGATTGTCTTTGCTTTTCACTAGCTGCTTCTCATGTGCTTCTATAGAGTCTCTGAACGCTACAGCCATGGAGTTAGTGTTGATATCCAGCTCTTGGTCGGTCTTCAAAGCCACAGAGAAGTTGCTGAAGAAGGAGATGGGTCTGCACTTCCAGCCACTGCTGGGTATTGTAGGCAGGGTGGATGTTGTAGGCAGGGTGGATGTTGTAGGCAGGCTGGTTGTTGTTTCTGTGGAAAAAGTAAGGAAACTAAAGCAATCAGTTTACATGCCCAGTGGTTCTAACCCCTCCCCACAAAGATATTTTGGGCCATCGGAATCCACACAGGCGTGCTTCTGTTTAATTCTCATCCTTGAGGCGTTAATCCTCTCCAGATGAAACCTAATGTGAGTATGTTGCGATGATAAGTCATATTTGTACATAAAGTGTTGTATGTAAATGACACTAAGGGGAGTTCAGAACATTGCCATTTAAATAAAAGTAGTCAGAGAAACATGATTCCCTACACCAGTCAACGACAACAAATTAAAAATGCATTACTTACCATTTTCTTGGACACCTTGCAAACTGGGCCCCTCACCGTTATGACCCAGTAACCCAGTTACGTTGGATCCATTGGTGATAGCTGAAACATCCACTACAGCTCCGTTCTGGTGCCTGCTGAGGGTCAGCGCTGCTTCTCTGGAGAGTTCCTCAATACTGGCATTAACATCATGGATCAGATAAACAGGTGGTGGATCCCAGGCTAGGACGATGCTTGTTGACTGAATCAAGTAGGCTGTAATGTTCTCCGCTGGCCCAATGACAACGTGAACTGAAAAATATAATCAGAAATTCGCAAGATGAATAAGAAGTCTGTTCTGTGAACTGCAGATTCAGAAAATGGTGAGTGTCCAGCTGCCAGAGAACTTGTGGTGCTTTATGCAATAATTTTATGCGCAGCTACTGATCTATCATAACTGCTGCTTCCATCATTGCTGAACCTAATTTTTTGTGTCAGCACTTCTGACTGCTGCATTATTCATTTAATGTGCTTGAATGCTGCTGAATTTGCTGAGTGTCAATTCTTTTCACACGGGACAGTGATGGACATTGTGTGTGGTTTTTGCTGGCCCAGAAATGGAGCAACTATGGGATGACCCCTTTACCAGGAAGCTGGAACTGCGGTGTCCTGAGGTTTGTTCATCTGATGTGTGACCACATGTTCACCTGATGTTTGACTAGATGTTCACCCGATGTGTGACTAGATGTAATGAAAGAACGTTCATGTCTGATCAAGAAAATCTGAAACAGAAGACAGCACAAATCTAAACTAACAACCTCACGATCACAGCATGAGACGAATGGCTTGACCGGGTCACCAGGGAGACCCAGCCTCTCATGCACCTAACACTACCGGTGAGAATGTGTGTCTGAATATAAGAGGCAATACTAACCACCCTACCCATTCAGTCATCCACACGTTGGATATTATTAAATTAAAAAACTTGGGTACGCATATTTCCCGTAACCGCATACAGATATAAAAGTTGGACACTTCATAAATCTGCTGAGAATCACACAGGAGTCTTTGAATTTAAATGTCATAGAAGAATCTTGCTCTTCAATCATCCTTAAAAGACAGGTGAACAAACAGTACTGTGGTTTACAGATATGCTGCAATATCTTTACCTTTTGACCCAACACATCAGATTTCAGAAAACTAATTAATCACATTTGTTTACGGGTCAGTGGGTCTATCCCCCCCCCCCCCCCCACCTCCGCCAGAAGTGAACCCATGCAAGGAAGAGGATAATCTTAAAATTCAGTGGACAGAAAACAGAAGAAACAAACCTATCTATCAGATCTCAGCTTTAAAAACTGACTAGTGACATCCCCATCCAGCAACTGAGACAAAACATCTTGTTTATGACAGAGGTGAAATTGTAAAAGTTAAGTCAGAGTGGCTCTGTGGCTGAGAGGTTAGTAAATGTGTTCAACAATTACACGGTGGACGGTTTATCTTAAACAAAACAAAAAAACTCTGACAGATGTCAGAGATAGGGGCCTCAGCATATTATTCTCAAAGACAGCCAACTTTGATCTTGGAGACGGCACACCCTATTTATATTTTAAATTATATATATATATATATATATATATATATATATATATATATATATATATATATATATATATATATATATATATATATATATATATATATATATATATATATATATATATATATATATATATGAGAATACTGCATGGAAGAAGCTACTGGATGGAGATCTGAAAATAAAAGTGATAGCCAAACAAAAAAAATACAATAATTAACCGACTTAACACAAACTCCTTTTGAGTTTTCTAGGTATAGTGAGTATTCAGTCAATTCATACTGCGCTAGCTAGCCGCCCCAAAGATCTTGGGTTTAAATCTTCACCGAGTCTAATTTTGTTTAAAAAGAGAGAGATCGTGGCTTAAACTAAAATAGGCAGCAGGTAAAAGACCTAGGAAGTAAAGGCAGCCAAGTGCAGAGTGGTCTATAAAAATATTAGTCTAGCATGATATGTCTGATGTGCTACTGGCGTAAAAGGGCCAAAGAGACAATTCCCACTGGATGACACAAAAGAGTTAAAACAAACAAGCCCACATGTCATGACGACAGTCAGTAAGGGCAGAAGGTAGACGAAACAAAGTCACAAGATCTGTGATCTGTCGTAACACATATAATTCTGTATTATACAACAATGAAATGGTTGGTGTGTGTTGGTGGGGGGAGGAAGGGGGGTCCTTAGCTGCACCCTACAACACTGTAGCAGTCTGAACAATTTTCTGTGTGAGCTGAACATGTGTGTGAGACAACAACATCCTCAAGGGTGTAGAACTGATAGACTGTCTCTGATAAAATTCCCCAGCACAGTACACCAGATGCATTTTCCCACACTATTGTGATAGTTATAAATAACAGGTGCTGACGATAGCAACAAGAAATGAGTAAGATCAACAGACCATGATAAATAAATGGTTGTGGAGAGCTGAAACAAATTTGCCTCACCTCAAATAATGGGAAGACTGAAGAAATGGTAATATCAAAAAAGCAAACTGTGCTTAAATGTACAATTAAAATCTCCTTCGCGTTCTTCGGCTGTTAACTCAGGCGAAAAGTTTTGGTTGTTCATCCCCTTCTGGACTTTTAGTCGTGCTCCAGTACCTGGCTTTATATACACAGACTGGTTGTTGCTTGCCTCTCAGCAGGTGCCCTCTGACTTTGAAGAAAAGCCCTAATTAGTCACCTCTTACAACATGCTTGTTAAGGGAGGCAGTGGGACTCCTCTTGTTTTTCCTCAAAATGCGGCCCTGAAACCCACACTGGGACAATTCAAATCAAAGGCATTGATTTGAGGCAAGTGCAGAAGTTCACTTTTTAGATACATGTATTTATCAGATGAAAGATGTATCACAGAAAGAAAGAACAGAACAGGACAACCAAAATCTGCACTTTATAAATTTAAGAACATCTTATGCAATTAACTCATCAGTGAAGGTTAACAAAAGATGTTTTGCCTGTTACATAGAGACAGTTTTAATTTATGATTATTGGACACCTAGCAAATACGTATACAAGCAAATATCATCAGGCCTCAGATATGTGGCTGTATAGAAAATGTCTATTCAACTGGCGGCATGTGAGCAAAGTCTGGCCTGCGGATCATTGCCAGTTGTACTGTATTAACGTCTTTATCTGCTGGGGCTCGCGCCTCTAACGATCCCAATTTTCACAATTGTGGCCCCTGGATAAACTTAGTTAAATAGCCCTGCCTATAAGAAACATGAGAAAGAGGCAGTCAACAACATTTCTGGCCACACGTAAGAAGAGATATCTGGAATATATGACAGCTCGAATGATTCAGCAAAGAGACACAGGTGAAAAATTAGAACTTTCTAGACATTTTGCCACTGCATGAAAAGGTGTCAGCAAATGAAATGACACAAGCTGTTGGAGTTAACAAATCATACAGAAGCATAATTAACCACGCCAATAAGTGAAGCACTTGATGGAGAGTGTAAACACTAATCAAAGTTGTCCGAAATTACCACGAGTACTAGAGATATATATGACAACGAGTGAAAGGTACAAGAGACATATATGACAACGAGTAAAAGGTACAAGAGACATATATGACAACAAGTGAAAGGTACAAGAGACATATATGACAACAAGTGAAAGGTACAAGAGACATATATGACAACAAGTGAAAGGTACAAGAGACATATATGACAACGAGTGAAAGGTACAAGAGACATATATGACAACAAGTGAAAGGTACAAGAGACATATATGACAACAAGTGAAAGGTACAAGAGACATATATGACAACGAGTAAAAGGTACAAGAGACATATTTGACAACAAGTGAAAGGTACAAGAGACATATATGACAACAAGTGAAAGGTACAAGAGACATATATGACAATGAGTGAAAGGTACAAGAGACATATATGACAACAAGTGAAAGGTACAAGAGACATATGACAATGAGTGAAAGGTACAAGAGACATATATGACAACAAGTGAAAGGTACAAGAGACATATATGACAACAAGTGAAAGGTACAAGAGACATACCATATGAGTGAAAGGTACAAGAGACATATCATATGACAACAAACAAAAGGTATAAGAGACATATATGACATGAATGAAAGGTACAGCAGACATATCATATGTTACACAAGTGTTCAAGACAAAACACAATAACTATTTGAAGGTTGTGAACGTGTTAAGAAGATACTGCTGTGCACACTGTGTAACTGGCCAGAGACTGAAATATCTACAACCTTTTTCTTGTGTCTATATTCTTAAGAATAGTTTATCTGTGACATAAACTTTGCTGTTTTACTGTACAAACTATGAGAGATAGGAATTAAAGATGCGTGACCTGGACTCAAGTGTGACTTGAGTTGCGGAATTAATTAACTTGCAATTCGGCTTGGTGTTTTGTCTAGTGATTCGTCACTAGTAGTTTTGACGACCTGGAATAACTTATTCTTCATGGCTGCAGACTATAAGATTTGGTGATCAAATAG